AATAGCGTAGAATGCGTCATTGGGTAAATCTTCACCCACGGATTCCATCATCCATCAAAATAAAATGTTTGACACATGGAAAATGTTTTCCCACTGATAAAATTAAATGACTATGCCAGCTGGCTCGAAGGCGTGAAGCAAAGGCAAAACAAGATATCTGCTGAAATTTTGAAAAAACTTACAAACATTAGCTTCTTATTACCATGTGGTCCTTATTTCCTAAAATAGGACAATCATTTGAAAAAAGTATGTTTTACCGTGCAGTTACAGTTTTAAGTGCACAACTCATTCAAATATTAAGTCATACATGTGCATATATGATTTTGTGTTATACTACCGGCATGTTGAACAGTTATATGTAATTTACAGATAATTGATTGTGTAGCTCTGAATTCTGCGTTTCTGCTTAAAAATTTTTTTTTTCAAAAAGATACTAAGGATGAAAACAATTTTGCTGTTTTAGTTGAAGAAAGATGGTCTTGGTATGAAAGCAGTAAAAAGCTTTACATTTCTCACTCCAAAGTGAGCATTTTTAAAAAGCATGTTTATAATGTTTCCCCATGCATAGGGAAAATGACAGCACTATGATTGAGGTGGCCAGGAGCTTGGGGGATCAAGTGAACCTTGACCTTTTGACCTTTCCTCGCTTTGTTTGAATGATTGAAGGTGCTCTTTGCTGCTCCAGGGAAGAACCCTGTAATCCCAGGACTTGAACTAAATACCAGTTCAAGCGAATGTAAATGCCATAAAAATCCACCCTGGTGACCATGGCAATGTCCACCGTCACATTTCTTTTTCTTGAATATTTCCCAAGGGAAATATATGTGGGACATTTGATTTCTTTTGTAGTCTAGAGATCATAATCACCAAATACCTTAAAATCTAGGGGGTAATTGTCAGTGTACAGTACATGATCAGGTAAATGCTTCGTGGTGTGAATTTTACAAAGTAAATTTCTGATTCAAAGGGTATCTAACATGAGCTACACCTTTCACAGTTTTTATAAGATGGTACCTGTCCTTGCTGAGAAACCATTCTTTTTCGAAATCCTAAAATTGCGTACTCATTCATGAACCTGAACTGGATGTTTGGGTTGGAAGGACTCAGTTGTATGCAATCACAGCTTTCCTTACCGTTCATGATTGATCCGCTCGTGGGATCTGCCAGTATAATGTTACTAATTAACATTCTAGAGGACAGAGAATGGTTACGCCTGCTGCACACAAACATAAGTCGCTTTATGAATTATTGATGACTCGTTAACAGATGGTTACTTATTTACAGGATTAGAAAAAAAAGAAAGCCACGTTATTATTTAGGGTAGATGCCCCAAGCTTTACAGAGGGGAAAAAAGTGGTGTGCTGCCTTCAGCAAACAAATTTCATTGAGGGCATCTGTTTTTATTGCTTTGGCAAACAATGAAAAAAGGAGATGGTGACGTTTCCAAGTTTTTAGGAATAAAAGGAATAAAAAGTGACGATAGTTATGAATTTTCCATTTCAGGCCCATAGACTTGGGGGTTCGAGGGGTTCAAACCACCCCCCGCTCGCTTCTGAGTTCCGTTTGTTTGTGGTCAGTTTTTTGTGTACTACATGTACCGTACTATTCGTCATACAAGCCACGGCTTATATTTTGATTCTCAAGCTCAAGGTGACCACAGTTCTGAATATTAATGTGTCAATCTCTAGTCATATGCACCGTCAGGAAGTTTCAGCAAATATCCACATTTCAGGTGTTTCAAAGGGTTTGAAATCAATGTATTTTTGTTACTTTTATTCAATATTGAAAACTACAGTGTACAAGTCTTACATGCAATCTTTGGCTCGTGACATGCAACTTTTCAATGTTGTATTTCAAAGCTCATTGTGATAGGCCTTTGTATAAAAATATGTGTTCACGGTGCCAAAAGTTCCACTTTTTGGTTTGATGAACCCCCCCCAGTCTCTGGTCAGGCAACAGGCCTGCATTTTTGGTCTCTACAGCCGAGAGAGATTGTTTGAATGTTGGAGATAGGTAAACTTGCCACATAGTAAGCGTAATGCGATGTTATAATTGTAACGGTTTCTCCCACAACAGACACAGGTGCTGAGATAACTTTTCTAAATTTTCTGGGGTTATATAGATTCACAGTTGATGATATTTGCGGTAGAGACGTCATTGCAGACGTGGTTGGCTCAGCACTGGAGGAGAGCCATATGAAAGTTATGTCTGCATTTTGGAAGGCCCTCATTTTCAGTTCAGTCGATGAAACTTTTCAAAAGTCAAAAAGTTGAACTCGGTGAACATCAAAGGAAATACTACTCAAATACTGTTGAGCTCTATCTGCATTGGTAGTGGTGTATCCAGCATTTATGAAGAAGGGGAGAGGGGGATGCCAGTCGGAGGTGAACCTGAAAATAGGAGTCAGGCATATTTTAGAATCATTCTTGCATTTAAAGTCAATAAATAACTAGTTAAGAGTAAATGATAAAGCAAAATCTCTAGATATCAAAGAAAGATCTTTAAAAAAGGAAGAAAATAAATGAAGGGGGTGCAATGGCTGCATTGCTCTAGATGTACCACTGCACTGGCTAGCCTCCATGTAATGTCAGTATGACTGGTGACCGCAACCCACATTTTGTAGTGTGTTATGGGCATAGCTTGACTAACACCTGGCCTGCTGCCGCATAAGAGCATTTTTGCTAATTTCCATAAATTATCTCCTTTCTGTACAACTACTTCAGGGCTCAGTTGGCCCACCCACCCAGGGAGCTGTGACCCCGTCCATGCAGCAGCCCAGCAGCAACTACAGCCAGCACTCAGGCAGCTTACCGCTGGGCAGCCACAGCCAGCAGCCGCCAGATGACACTCACTCCAATGCAGGGTCGGACACACCGCTGACGAACATGGTGGCGCAGATGCATTCTGGGGACAACAACAGTGAGACAGGTAAAGGAACTTTGAATATGCTCGGTTATTTCAGGTTCATCATTGCTGTGTCCAATCGGCAGGTGGTGCTGTTTTGCCCATTCGACCGAGTCTAGGCAGGTCGCAGTGCCTACTTGACCACTTGCCAACTGAGTTATGCTCAAACCCTTGAACCGTCACATGACTAGGGGTCACCTAGGCATTGTTCCGTGGTGAAATTCCTCTGTCATTTGTCCTTCAGTGACAGTGTTTTGTGTTTTTTGTCTGCTGGGGGCATGGAATTTTCGTGAACCAATAGTTGTTAGGTATTAGACACCGTGGTTGATTGAAGTTTGTTTTATTTTCAAACTTAGTCTTACCATAGAGATTTTCTCAATCGCCCGAAGATTAACAAAGTTTCAGAATTCTTTGTCAGCCATCTGTGGCAAACTGAGTTTGAACCCTGTTGCCAGTGAGCTGTAGACACTTGAGCATCAGTGTTCAGTTACATGTGGCCTCCATTGCTTGTGTTTGCGAGTGCTGTTTTATTAAACCTGTCTGTCACTTCTGACAATAAATATTGGCAGGTAGCATTCACACAGCTTGAACGAGTTCAGACGGTAGTCACTTCAGCAACACTGCTTTGAAATGATAAAACTTCTTTTCCTGCCCATACCTGAATAGCAGTGAGCTGTCTTTCTACTAATGTTACATTATCTGGTGACGATGTTGCACTGTCATGCTTTGTGTTGCTCTGATCATCCCCCATTCTTGCAATTGCAGATGGCGGCCTAGACAACAGTCTGGGGTCGGGGGAGGGTACCGGGGAAGATGACGATGATGATAGAGCTGCCAAACGCCAGAAGAAACGAGGCATCTTCCCCAAGTCAGCCACTAACATCATGAGGGCGTGGCTTTTCCAGCACCTCACTGTAAGTCGAATGGCATTCTATGGCCTGTCCAATCTGGCTTTGCTTCTTATGCCAAAGCATGACACGGGTCATTGTAGTGAGTGCTTTTGAGGGGAATTTTTTTTTTTTTTCAGGAATTCATCAGTTATCCTAAAAATTTCACCAATATTCAAAACAATTACTGGTAGGATCGAATCACAGTAATGCTCAGGCACTGCTATGGGACTTGAGTTGAAATACACCGCATGGTACAAAAACGTTGACATTGCACAACTCTGCTACATGATGATCACTCATGACTGGCTGTAAATTACTGTACCTCATCTTCACTGCACAAGCAATTCTTGCAACTCTCTGTCATGGGGTACTACGATCAGTCAAAAAAATTTCTTCAAGTCATTGAGTCTAATTGATTTCATTCTTTTGATGTATCGTTTGCCATTTTTGAAGTGCGGGAGCTGGCAGTGTGTTGCATAGTTTCTGACCCATTGACGTGTTGACCCATTACATAGAAGAAAGACCTCTTGATTTTGATAACATTGGGAACGTGCACTGTTTTTAAGCTCTCCATAGGTGTTTTTATTAGGGAATGCATACAGGAATTTTCTTTAACACTCTTGGATGGTCTACCTGCCCAACATAAGTTAGTCCCAGATATTCCTCTGTCAAAGAAACCTCAAGATGCAAAGAGACAGGTGTGTCTGTGGTGTGTAGTAACTGGGATATTGTTTCTTCTTTGAGATGAGGGCAAGTCTCTCTGAGAGTGTCCCTCTACTCATTTAGGCTCTTGCAATTGAAAGGATGGGCAGGTGGACGTCTCACCCTGTCAGACAAGATGCAAAGACGGCGTTTGCAGTATTCACTACAGTGACATTGCATTCCTTGTGCAGAAATGCGATACTGCTTACAAGTTTGCTTGTCAAAGAGTGTGAAAGTCACAAACTCTGCCAGAGTTTTGAACATTTTTTGGATTACCTTGAAGGCATTGCTCATCTACAGTATCAGGATGTCTCAGACAATGAAACATGGAATATTACCGTGGTATTGTTGGAAGAGCTACGTGTGTACACCACGTACACTGAGTGCTGCTTGCAAAGACTTGTCGCTTTCTACAGAGACTTTTTGTTGTCATAGTCGCACACGACAAGTATGTGTCAGTTACTTGTTTTCCTGTCATTGTCATTTAGCATGTTCTTCAACCAGCAGTGTTTGAAAATGTTTGATGTATGTGTCTTAGATGTGTACATGTAAGTGTCTGGTAATTTTATAAAAGTAAACAGATTGGGTGAGTGTGATTGCTGAGTAACACACAGCTGACGGTGAAGCCAGCGGCTCGCAGCAGTTTGTCCCCCCTTGTCAAGTCAGAATCGCTCTCTTTTCATGACTTTGCATTTACTGTTTGTCTTCCCAAACAGCACCCCTACCCGTCAGAAGAGCAGAAGAAACAGCTAGCCCAAGACACGGGCCTGACAATCCTACAAGTCAACAACTGGTGAGTTGCGCGACCGTGGCATATGAGCCTGTTGGTCCAGGGCGGGGATAATTGTACCTGGCGCATGACAGGGTAATGGATTAGACACCAGCTCTGACTGCTCAATCACTTGGTCCCCTCATCTTATCTGTCGCAACAGTTTTCTCTCAAATTTTGTGAAAGAGTTTGAAATGCTGTCAGGATGATTTTTTGGGAGGGGGGATCCTGATGAACTTGGCAGTAATTCTTATGATTCGACAAACGAGTGCTAATCTCTTCTGTGACTAACACGAAGATGAGCATGAATAATGTAAAGAGAACTGACAGTGATGACATATGCGGTCTGATTTCACAAATCCGTAATTGGCATCTGAGTTTTTTTTTAATGCATTGTTTGATACACCAGCCAGGTGTCTTTGCAGATACCGACTGAGGAAACAATCTTCACAGGCTGTTGCCGGAGAAACTCCATTTGCTCCTTGTTCCATAAAACATGCTTGAAGTCAGAAACCAGCCCTGGTGTCTTCTAAATCATTTTGCTGAATTGAGTCATATTACCTGTCTGAAAAAAGAGAGTAAAGTCAGTAAAAAGATGAAGTCAAAGATTAAAATATATGAGAGGTAAAAATGAAAGAATGCGGAAGTTGTTTCAGTGTTTATTCTTGTTGATTCCACATTTTAAAGTGGATTTTTTTCCGGGTATTTCATCACGCCAGTGCAAAAACGTCGTAACTGCAAATTTTGTGAAATTCAGGTTTTTTTCCTGAAGTTTTAGTCAGATTTACTTAAAGATATTACAGGGACCTTTCATTTAATTGGGCACAAAAATTTACCATGAGGCCGCAAACCTATTTATGCATTGTTCTGAAAACTGCTTGAAACTGAGATGCAACTTTTTGCAGTGGGAGGACAATTTGTCAATTCAAAAAGTGTATTCAGAACTGCACCAGCATTGAACAATTTCAGACTCTTCTAGTGGAAAACATTTTTCCTAGGCCAAGCTTATTGCTACTCAGAGCCAAGTGTTCAAGGCTTTGAGCAAACGCACTATTGATTAAAGGGGGATATCAAATCTGTCACAAAGTTGCTGGGGATTTTGGAGGTGATGTAATGGGGAGCTGTGAATGTGTCCCATTCCAATTAGCGACTTCCTGCAAGCTGTTGGACTATTGTCAAATATCCAGGGTATTGTACGTTGATGTATGTCGTGATATAATATTGGGGAGAGACAGCTGAACTCGGGTACTTGTTTGTCAAGCACCTGCCTTTTAGAAGGTGCTCGTAATTTGATTGTGTTGGTCAGCTTGGCTTTTCTGCCCTAGTTGCCCAACCCCTAATATGAGGAATGGCATTTAGAAAAAAAATCTTTTTCCCAGTAAAATGGACATTGTCCTTCCATTTCTTGGCATCTTAACCACTTCCTGCCGGGCGACCCGTTTTTGAGTACATAAGCTTTATATGCAGAGCTGGGACAAAAGAGTTGGGCCTTATAACAAAAACCCGTGCTCAGCACAAAAGACTGAGCTGCTGGGCATTACCGACATTTTTTCATTCTCAATAGTGGAGATATCCAGCCTTGTTTTGAAACAGCATACCACGGTTTGAGGCATTTAGAGCGAGCGGATTACCACCGGGGACAAAAGTTCTCCACCACCGCAGCCATGAACCACACAGCACCGCTGCACGCTAATCTGGCCCCTATTGAAAAGAGGTCAGCAGTGCACTGTACTGTTTTCCCGAACAAAAGAATCTTACATAACACCACACAATCTGGGCTCTTTTTCCAAGGCTGCAGGCCTGGCTGAAATATTCAGGAGTCAATGAATTTTACCTGTCAGCTTTAGAATAGTGCCCAAAGAGTCCTTCATTTAGGTAGAAATGGCCATTAAATGAAATGATGAATTTTTGAAGAATTTTGAAAACGGAAAATCTTGAAAAGAGCCGGCATCTTGTCTTGCTCAAGAAAAATCCACCCGGCAGCAAGTGGTTAGTCACACTTATCAACCTACAATATTTTGGTTGGTTAAGGTATCCACTCATATTGTGTTAGCTGACTACTGTAAGCATATAAAGGTAACCTCAACATCACGGCCACATTTGGTTGTATCCATATGTGACTAACCATGCATGAAGAACTAACTCTAGTGACATCACAACTGGACTACCGTAATAGCCTTGTGATTGATTTCAGTGAGAAACTGAAGAGGTTGAAAAAATGTTCAGTGATCTGCCGCTGAATAATGTGAAACAAACAGAACCTCAACTCCATCATTCCTGAACTTATTAAATCACACTGGCTTCCAACCGCACAGCTACAAAAGTCTTCAGTCTCATCTTTATGTAGCTTGCTGGAAAGGAGCCCCTGCTTACATCACGGACATGCTCCTAGTTAGTTCTCAACAGAGGCAACTTCAGTCTTCAACTTTTTGTTCACTGCACTTTGTTGGGCCGAGGACCCTTTGTGTTTTTTTGGTCGCTGATAGATCATTCTCTGTTCATGGCCCCAGAATCTGGAACAAGCTTTCAGAACACACCGGAGCCACCAACTGCTCTGCATACATTCAAGACATTCCTAAAACTCACCTGTTTCATTAGGTATTCCATCAGTCATTCTTCATTTAGTGCCTCATCAGCGCCTTAGAGCAAACTGATTTTGGCACTTTATAAATGTCTTTTGATGGATTGATTTATTGATTGATTCTGCTTGTGTAAAAAAAGTGCAAACGAGAATGCATGGGTGATAAGCATAAAGTCTCCATGAGGTCATGGAAGTTAAATGTCCAGTGGGAACATGGCTGCTCTCCCTGCATGATGACATCAAGACACTGATGGCTCAGTCTTTCCTTGTTTATATCTGTGTTATAGGATAGAATGCCCTAAAAGTGTTCTTGTCCATTAGCTGTTTGTCCAGGCACTGCAGTTGTTGCAGGCATGAAGGACTAATCACCCAGTATTTTTTGTCTTCCTGTTTTTAACATTACTTCTGTAGGTTCATCAATGCCCGACGCAGGATAGTCCAACCAATGATAGACCAATCCAACCGTGCAGGTGAGTGACAGACTTGCAGTATGCTAATCCAGATCATGCATGGCACGGGACCGGATACAGTTCAGCTGTGACGTCAATTCATTGGCCAATGCTGCCCGTTCTCATTCTGTCAACCCTCCTTCCTGCAAAATGCCTGTTGATGATAGTGTACAGTGAGTTCTGTATCCAAGGTGGTTTTTTTTTTGGTAGTGCAGTGGCACGAGGATTGAAACCTGCCAGTGCAGTCCCTTAGACAACCATATTCAGCCACCTAAAAATGCCATCATCAGAGGTTTGCCTGTCATGATCTGATTGAACCCACATCCAGCATCTTGACTTTGTGCATTGTGCTACATATAAGTACAGTTGTGGTCATAAGTTTACGTATGCTTTGACTGAAAGTTTTTAATTACAATTTAAAGTCTACCTGTTCTTGGCTACCATTCTTTTTATATATCTGATCAATCAACACTTCTACTCCAATGTTTTATTTAGAAGTTTATTTAGATAGAGGAAATGTGCTGACAGATCTTTTTGAGAAAAAGATAAACTTGGCAAGAATCAGTTAGCCTTAGACTTGTAATTTAACATTTCCAGTCTAAGCGTATGTAAACTAGTGACCACAACTGTACCTCTTCTAACCGTTTCTCCTAACCCGGTCACCGTGGCTGTAGAGAAAATGCCTGACTTGTGGTGACAAAACACTCACGAATAATTCTCATTATGTTTAAAAGTTTTCATGTGTATCCTGGGGCAGACACCTGGAAGAAATATTCCACATGGCTTAGCTCACATTGTTCCAAGCACCGAAAAATGGCTGGTGTATATCACAATTTGAGCGGCCTTACTCAGAGAGGAAATAGCCACTGCTCCCGCCTAGACATGTAATTCAGTGTGGTTTGTGTCGCAACAGGTAAAATAGAAACCATACTTGCTGCTCCATCTTTATCAAGTGTTTTGCTTAGACATTAATCGGGCTGCTTCTCAGTATGTAAATAATGGTTGGCGGTGTCCTGGACAGAGGTACTTGTTTGTCATCTCTGAAATGGTCTGTTAAGGCCCAGTTTTTGAATCCAAAAAATCAAAAAAGGAAGTGACAGTTGCAAAATCTATTCTTCGCAGCGTTACTAGATGAGTAGTGTTGAAAAACCCTTTTCAGTTTGTGACGCTGCTGGCACAGCAGGGTTTGCAAAAAAGGGCAAAATGTAATGCATCTTTGTTAACATAGTGATGATTGACATTAACACATGAAAAATATTCTAGTGCATTATTGTGGTTCCCTTCAAAGGAAGTTCACAAAGGTAACATCATTACTGACTCTGAACGGGATCAGGGTTGATGAATGGGGCTTCAACATCATTTATCCAGGCATGCCTAGTGTTTGCTTTGTTAGACAACAAAGCACGTTAGAGCATGGCCTACAGGGCACCCCAGAACTCAAAACCACCTTTTCACATTCCATAAATTCATGCAGGCGGAGGATACACCGTATGTACGCCTCCATTTTGTTCAAACGGGACTTTTTAAACTGACTGAATTCACTAATGATCAGAATTACTCATTCACATTTGGGATCCATGTCAGACTAGCATGGATTTCCAGTGCGTGCCAGTGTGTGGGCATTTTCTGGTTGGCCCCGACCTGTTTTAGACTGATTGCGTTGTGTGTTGTACTGTATGTCTAGAGATGTTTTGTATATGTGAACATACATGTAGTCGGACAGGAAAGTGATTCATTTGGTGTACATTCCTATCACTCCCACACATGTAGGGCTTGTTAAAGAGTTGTTTTGTCATCCATATCCTCCCCAGGGACCATTTCCAAGGATCTTAGAATAATTAAACCTTGCAACTTTCTCCAGTTGCGTTTGGATTTCAGTCTTGCCGCAATCTTCCAAGAAAGTGTTATAGCCATTAAAGGAAATGGTGCCCATTAAGGAAATGGTGCCCAAGCTTTTCTTGTGCCGACCGTCGTTTAGCAGTGTCATCCTCATTAATTGGCTAATGAGAAGTTCCAGGAAAAAAGAACATTTAAAATGCAGTGTGCTCTAACCGCTAGATCTACAACCAGTGACAAGTAGAAATCAGCAGCTTGCATCAGCCAGTTGCTCAGTTATTGTCAGGGATGCCAGTTCGCCAACAAAAGTCTAATATTAGGCTTCTTATCATTCAAATGGTTTGGCTAATTCCAGGCCTTAGCAGGGCATATGGAGGTTTCTCTGGCCTTCCATTTCAGGTTCCGGTTAAGAACCTGGCTGGCATCCCTGCATACTTCCCTTCACAAGTGAGTTACTGCAAGAGTTGAGAGTAAGGTTGCCCCAGGTTTGATTGCTGTCAAGAAACGCTGGGATGCAGTGCATGTTCACTCACACACTTGTCAGCCTAAAACACAAGGGAAAGCTGGCGGTGCCTCAGTGTGCCAGGGCCGTTTATCTGGCCAATGTGGGGGGAGGGGAGGGGTGGGATGGGAAGGAGGCATACAATAAGTGTTTTGGCCAAGATGTCAAGATTAGTCTTAGGAGGAAGAGGGGGTAGCTAGTCATTACCTGTGCGATCCTCCCCCAGGTCCCATGCCCTTGAGGTTATGCCCCATTTCTGCTCTGCAACTTGATCCTGCGATAACACGTGTATAGGGACTCCATCAGCCTTCACTCAAACAGGAGCAAAGGTTCAAGTGTACTTGTAACATTTGGCAGTCCTGTTCGACGTGACAATATTGACTGTCGCAATTTTTCTTGCCCTATTTGTTCGAGTTGATCACTATTGTAGTTTAACTTTTCAAACAATTTAGTCTTGAGTTTTTGTACTAAGTGGGCTTTTTTTTTTTTTTGGTTGGGTTTTGGGGGTTGGTTTCTTTTCCCTTCTACAGTTCCAGGAATGTCTGGTGGGTCTGCCTATAGCCCCGATAGCCAACCTATGGGGGGATTTGTGATGGACGCGCAACAGATGCACCTACGACCCCCACCCCCTGGCGATTACTCCGATCACCATCTGTATTGAGACCAAACCCCCCCAAAAAGGTTGTTTTATACTTGTGATATCTCTTATTTCTGCTCTACTTACATGTGTAGATGGTGGTATAGTGTGTTATTTTATATATGTACATGTACATGCAGAGGTATTATTCTTGCTATGTTCAAAAGAACTGAAGGACTGCTGTGCCTTGTGTCTGGTGAAATGTTTCACTCGTCATTCATTTGAATTACATGTAGTAGACACTGCTTCAGAAGGCTTTACTCATATAGCCTGCCGACAGACAGCGTATGGATCTGTGAGGATCCTACTCGGGCATTTGTGAGCGTAAAATGATTGCATGCAGAAGATAGTGTCTATTCGCACTCACTGAAGCTTGTACATGTATACAGTTGTACCAGTCATGCATAGAGTATTGTAGTCGTGTGGACTTGTTCAAACAGTATTCAGGTGCCACTGTTAGTTGCGTCTGTCTGCAGGTAATTTTCAATTTTTGGGACTTTCCATTTTGAATAGCATCTTTACTTTGTATTGAGTATTGGCCCCTCTTTAAAAAGGTCCTTTGTGTTCGAGTAGGTAGCCCTGCCTGCATAAAAATCATTAACAAACCTGCTCAAAATCACTGCTTTGGTAAAGGTTGAAATGAAAGCTTGCATAGCTTTGAAACATTACTTACTGCATTGCAATTTAATTTGCAAATATCTCCTGAAAAGTTGCATTTTAGTGTAAGATCATTGACATACAAATGAAATTTCACTGTTATAGTCTGGATTTAGTACCTTTCCCCTTTCTTTCAAAAGGTGTCACTCTTTGTTTAAAATCCGGTAACGTTGCTGTGAATTACTTTAATTAAACAATTCCCTCTTGGCTGTGTCTGTAAGAAAGACAGTGGGGAAATATGCTCACAAATTACTATCCCACAACATTGTTTACTGTGGTTCAATTGGAGCTTACATGAGGAACTCGGGTGGCAGTTAGGAGCAGGCTACCAAACCTGTATTCCACACAACCCATCAGTTAGAACAACGGGAAAGGGAAACAAAAACACCAAAAAAGCCAAAAAAAAAAAGTTTGGGATTTTGTTTTAGGAAGAGTTTGTCAGAATTCCTCAGTTTTTACCAAGTAGTTATTCTGCAAACTTTGAAGAAAGAATTCCCAAATCATGTTTCCTCTCATTCTTTTTCTGATATTCTTTATTTAGGTTCTCCTGTAGTTTTAGTTTGTGAATGTCTTGTGCATTTCTTTTTTTCTTGGATTTTTCTGCGAATGTTGTGATGGTGATTTTTGGTGGTAGATTGATGTCTGTGTTTATTATTTTTTTTGGTGTGTGTATGCCTGCAGGTAATAAGTTCACAGAGTATTTTGGTGTCTTCTTGCAAAATGTTACCAATTTTTGTTTTTCTCCTGGAAAAGATTTACTTTCATTTGTTTTGCCCATATTCTTACAGATATATATTCCTTTGGGGCTGAAAAAATAAAACATTTTTAAGTGTGATCAAACGGTTCACCAAATATCACAAATCCCTGAGTGATTTCATTGTCGTTTCCTTTGCATTGCCACTGCACAGTAAAGGGTTTCTGCTCATCGCTCGGTTTGTGTGTGTGTGTGTGTGCTATATCGTCAGGGCCTGCAGAGTTTTCTCTGGCTGTGCTTTGGAGTGATATTTGCACAAGGCATGGAGATGTTTTGCCCGGTACTCTGCTCAGCCTCTAATGAAGGTTTGGATAGGGGGAAAGCAGTGACTGACAGCTGATCAATAGTTTGCTGCTAGGGATGGTTGCATAGCTCCCCCCTCATTATTACCCAAACCTGACCACTCAATCTGTCTAAATTATCTCTCTCCCTAGTCAGAAAAATGTGCACTGTTCTTGTGCAGATGCTGGTCGTATTGGGATGGAAAGTCTACGGCATCAAAGAGAATTTGATGGCTGGGGTAGTGAGTTGTTGTTTGAGATTGAATTCAGTAGCACAAGCTGTGAGTAATAATTGTGCAGTTAGTTCTTTAGAAGTCATCTAATTCAAGTGGAAAATGTGAACCAGCATCGTGG